TTAATGTTTAGTAATGCGTGTTCATGTTTTGAAGATTATATGCATGTGATTGTGTTTTTTCATTATTTTTGGGTTAGTTGATTTATAATATCAAGATTAAATTGTGAATTTTGTTGTTGGTTTAGATTAATTTTGGGGTAAAAAGACAGTATATGATTACATATAACTATACATGACAGTGGTATACTGTAGTCATATATAGTCAATTCAGTACAATAAATTTATCAAAAAAAATTAAAATATTAAAAATTAAAAAATTAAAAAAAAATTAAAAAATTAAAAAAAAATTTAAAAATTTTTTAAAAAAATTAAAAAAATTAAAAAAATTAAAAAAATTAAAAAAAATTAAAAAATTAAAAAAATTAAAAAAATTAAAAAAATTAAAAATTAAAAAAATTAAAAAAATTAAAAAAATACAAAATACGGTATGTATAAAAAATAATAATAAAATAAGAATTTATATTTTTTATTAAAATAATATATAAAAATGATAAATACTGGCCCAAAATGCTAAATGCAGTTCAACATTATGCTGAATGTAGGGGCAGAAATACTAAATACAGTTGGGCGAAAATTACACTTAAGGGCACAATAGTACTTTTGCATCTCCAGGGGATATCTCAAAGAAAGAATTTTAGGGGTGGACCTATCCCTATATATTTTCCATTCTAGGGGTGTATATCAAATGGACCCTTATTAATAAGACGTAAAAAACAAGATAATAATATAAAAAAAGATCGTACTCGAAATTAAACAAAAATTCATTACACAAACTTGCATAAGACTTTTAGTTATAAAAATTACTTAGACAAAATAAAATAGATGGAACAAAACTTTGGCACGATTTTTTTAGTAACCAATTAACACCAAAACACATATTGTCAACTTAAACACATTCAGCCGAATTCACATATCTCCAAATTGTGGCTCTCCATGGTCCTTAACAACACCAAAATTATTGGATGATCTTTGGTTTGAAAACACTGCATCACCAAACCTTGTTGACATTCTTCTTATCTGGTATAAGTATAACCAAAAAAAAAAAAGTATAAAATATCTATACAAAACATACTTGCACATTTGTTGGACATTGGTTATTTAGCACATATAATTAGCATTAGCGTAATGATTAGCATATCCAGATTAGCATTAGCATTAGCGTTAACAATATTACCATATTAGTATTAGTATTAGTATCAGTATCAGTATTATTGTTAGTATCAATGTTAGTATTAGTATTCGTATTAGTATTAGTATTAGTATTAGTATCAATATTGGTATTAGTATCAGGATTAATATGAGTATGAGTATCACTATATAAGTATGAGTATCAATATTAGTATGAATATCAATATGAGTATCAGTATCAGTAGTAGTATCAGTATTAGTATCGATATTAGTATCAATATATTAGGATCATTATTACTATCAGTGTTGATATGAGTATTGGTATTGGTATAGGTATCATCATTAGTATCAACATTGGTATCAGCATTGGTTGGGCGTATACATCTTATCTCTTTTGCAATATTTATAAGTTGTATTGTTGTTTGAGTAATATGCATCACTAATTGAACGCCGTTAGTTATAAACTTGCAGGTTATTTGAATATCTATTGTGTACTTCTCTGCTACCATGTTTGTTGTTAAGTTAGTTATTTTGCACAAGATTCACATGGCGTAGTAGATTGTGTTCCATGAAGTAGAGTTATACCATATGTTTTAAATAATTTCACTTAATCTTCATATCGTGTTATGCATGCTTCACGTTTTCTTCTTTGTAATATTTAATTTAATTTCATATGTTAAAACTCTGAATTAAGAGATAAAGTTTATGTTTTTGTTATAAAGAGATAGTCATTTATATATTATTATTTTTCTCATTTTAAATCCGACCTCCATGCAATGCACGGGTGAAGTACTAGTTTTTCAAAATCGGAAAATTTTGGAACTGGAATAATTTCAAAATTGATTATTCACATAATTCATTCAATTGTCTAGCAATAAATTAGTGTAGTACGCTTAGAGACTATAAATTTGTGAAAATAATATGCCTCTCAAGTAGTTTAAAATGAGAATATAGATTTTTGTAACCATACACTATCATTACTAATGAATCTTTAATTTTTTTTTATTTCTCAGTGGTAACAATTAAGCAAATTATTCTCAATAAATTATATGTTTAATAGTAAGTCAGAAAAAACAAAATGACATTTTATTTTTAGAACATGTAAGAATTTGGTTTTGCTACTTTAAAAGTACACGTAAAACTTAGGAGTAATATGTTATGAGTCCCTCGTGTGAAATCTAATTTGAACTAAATCACAAGTCTAAATCTAATTTTTAACTAAATCGTTAGTTTGAAATAATATATGTCATACGTCCTTAATTTTTTTAATCCATATCTTCCCCTTACACCCTAAATCTTATAACCCACATAATTCACGTTTCTCTCTCACACCTACTTTTCCTCTTTATTTTTCTTCATCATTATCTCTCTCTCTCTCTCTCTCTCTCTCTCTCTCTCTCTCTCTCTCTCTCTCACTCTCACTCTCTCTCTCTCTCTCTCTCTCTCTCTCTCTCGCTTTCTCTGGCTCTCTCTATCTATCTGGCTCGATTTATTTCTTTGGATCTCAAGCTCTCTTTCTCGCCACCACTCCACTCCGTGTTTCGCGTGGAGATGGGGGCTGTGACGATAGAATCGACTATGGCGCTTGAGGTGGCGGCATGAGGGAGGTGTTGGTGGTGACACAGCATTGGGCATGAGGATGGCGCTTGGTCGCAGGCGGCGCTCGGGGTTGGGGATGGTGCCAGTGCTGTGGCGATACATATACAAATAGGGGGTCTCGTTAAAAACCTTGTTGGCCTAGAACTGGTTCCGGAGGTGGTAAGTTGGTGCAAGGTCCTAGGATCGAATCCTGGCAGCCGCAGTGTGGGAATTTCAACTCCAATGAGTTGGTTCCTTGTGGGCACCAGGTCCGGGTCCGCTACCTTAACGGGCCGTTGAGTTACCATGATTTACATTCCTCCATCAATCTTTGTCGGGCCAAGGGATGGGGGCCCTGGGGGCGAGGGATTTTGCCTTTTGGTGCAAGGAAAAGAGTACCCCTTATTTACATTGTTTACGAAAATTACAAAAACCTAGTCTATCGGTTAAAATAACATGTCTACTAGAATATATATTTATATATATATATATATATATATATATATATATATATATATATATATATATATTTTTTTTATTTTATTTTTTTGCATTAACGGTATTTATCTAACTTTTTTAAAATACACGATTCATTATAATATTAAGAGGCTTTATACTATCAGCGCTTCTTGATTAATTGGGGGTGGGGATGGTGACGGCTGCGTGGTAGGGTTTGTGCTATCTTTAGCAGCGTGGTGATGCTGGCGTTGTGGATCTAGGGTTTGGTGTAACGGATTTAAAAAAATTTGATTTAATGTCTACATATATATGTGAGTGTCTGTGGTTGTCTATAGTGTTTGGCGGCTAGGGTTCAAAGAAGGAGTTAGGGTTTTAAGGATATGTGACTATGGATTACTACAGTTTCCTACGATTGTCTATATGTGACTACGGACTACTACGGTTTCCTACGGGTTTCTATAGATGACTACGGCCAAAAAATATTAATATTTTTTTTCATAATTTTCAATATTATGTAGAAAAATACAAAAAAAATACGAAAATGCAAAAAAAAAAAAAAAAAAAAAAACATGTTCTAAGGAAAAAAATTATAACAAAAATGCTATATGCAAAAATGAAAATGTTTAATGCATAATAAAAAATGATAAATGCAATTTAAATATTACTTTGTGCAAATTTCATTTTTTGCGTGTGGGGGACATTTTTTGAATGAAATTTATAAAGAATGTGAAGCAAATGTTTAGTTCGACTTGTTATTTAGTTCTAATAATTTTTGTCATCAGGGACTTATATCTTAATGCCCCTAATATTAATTAGGGAACAGTACGGCCACCCTCTCAGTAAAGTCAAATTACGAAAAAAACTCCTCATGTTTGCATAATTACAACAACCGTCCTCAATTTTTATTTTTATTTTATTTGGCCAAAAAGATTTTATTATTCCATTATTTTAAGGAGACTGAGGCCTCATTGAAACCTTGTGGGCCTGCACAAGGAAAGAGTAGACACGACCACGGGGCGGGAGGGGACCCGAAACTGACCCGTGGGGAAGCGGGTCCACCCGGGTCCGGGTCGGGTCCCCTAAAAGTTGAGAGGGGTGGTTGTTATCACCCAAATATGAGAGACTTTTTCGTAATTTGACCTTACCTCAGCGGATGGCCGTAATTTCCCTAATAATTTCTAATGTATACTTATGTAGCACAGAAACTTCAAATTCTTAACGTTTCCATTCCGGAAATCCGAAGACACCTGCCGGACACTTTGCAATTTCTAAAAACTTAGAAACATGTTTGCATAGTAAATTTTCAAATATTTTTTTTGTTTCCCAAATTATTTACATAATTTAATGATCAATAGCACATTGATAGTGATTTATTTTGAATATATTTGTATAACAATATATAAAAAGAATTTATATATAAAAATAAAAAGTTATATATGTTTATATAGAATATTTATAAAAATACCCCTATATTTTTAATATTTACACGTTCCCCCAGTTCATATCCCTATTTTCGGAACATACCATTTCCCTATTTTTCCTTATCGCCGTTTCCGTGATTGTGCAACATAGATGTACACATCTTCATGTGTATGTGTCCGAATATGTGTAAATCTACCGTACAAAACTAGCGTGTGTAATTCAACCAATGCATTGGCAATTAAGAAAATTAAAATATAATAAAATTTTCATTTTTACATGTTTTTTTCTAGGTAAAATTTCATAAAAAACAAAAACTGAACTCCAAAGTAGAAAATTTACAGGATATAGTGCAAGATTATACAATCAATCATAATAACAAATAACAACTTCTGCAAAACCAAGATCAAAGCAGAATAACAAATATATAAAAAAATAACAATAAATAATAACCATAAAATCCATAATATATATTTCAATTCTCAATAAGAATGAACAAATACAACTCTGATAGAATGTACTCCCAAATAATTTAACCAAATTCATCGTGTGAAAACCTCGTAAAAAAGGATTGAAGCACCACCTCTCTTAACTCCGCGACTGAGAAATAAATCTGGGAACTTTCATACCGAACCCATGCTTCGCCCTCTCGACCCTGTTCGGATATTAATAATCAATACATCAACTATAAATTTAATTTATCACTGGAAAAATCATCATATACTTTTGAACTATACATTGATTTATTTAAGACAAACGCCGAATATATTGTAGCAACTTTCGTACTCTTATTCCCATATTGCCCCTCCCCAACCCCACATCTCAAACTAGGCCTTGAATAGTCGCTACGCCGTTTACTATTGTTCGAATCTCGACATTTCAAGAATTCTTACCACATATGATATTCTTAAACTCAATAAAACAACAAGAAAATTATAAGTTATGGTCAAGATTCACACGTGAAGGGCGTAATCAACTATTTTGAAGGACAAACCTACCCTCATGATTGAAAAATGGAACCAAATTTTAATCAAGAAACGAAAGATGTTTAGTCCAAACTCCAATCTCTATCCCTACAATTACACAATCCTAATTTTGTTTTTTAGATCTATTAAATTGAAGTTACCATGAGCGCTCGCGTTTTTTCAAAATAATGCTAATAACTAGTGTAATACGCGTATTTCGACTATTTCATAAACAATGCAATATACTCGTCATTCTAAAACAATAGATTGCAAATACTTATCACAAATTCCAAACATAAGATGATCACATATGCGTGATCATTAACAACATAATCATAAGTTCATAACCAATCCAACCACATTTATCAAGTTCGATCAATACTCCCAAACAAGGCCCAAGAAAAACAATTGAAATCCTAAACATAAAATAACCGCTATTAATTTATTTTTTTCTCGCACAACAATAACTGTAATAGAATTCGAATCTCAAGATATTAATTTATTCGAGTTCGATAAAAAAACTTACGTGGGTGCAAGTTTGCCAAGACCGTCCAATTCTTCCCCGGTTTGCTCGTCCACAACTTTCCCGTTAATCTCGACTATATAAGATCTGTGTTTTGTGATCGGAAGACCTCTGCTCGAAAGCAAATCTAAATCTTTTTGATGAAGCTCGCGCCCGTTGACAAAAACCCCCGTATTCCCAGCAGCGCATTTCTCCGGGATAGGATAATTAAATTCTTCAATATTCGGCTGCACGATAATAATAATTAATTAATTAATCCCGTTGCAGATTCAGTCGTGTGTGCATGAAATGTGTCGTAAAAATTGAATCTTTTCAAGAATGGTTGAAATTGTTCGAGTGAAGAGAAACTCACCATAACAATGCCTAGACAAGGATGTCCCATCACACCCCAAAATCCAGCTTGCTTATCGTACCTGGATTTATTAATACGTTTCCAAAAAGATCCATTATCAGTTTTCGTGGGAGAAATCGGACGGATTGGATCGGAATTAGCACTTTCGAAAGTGGAAAACTAATTCCAATTCCATTCCAAAAAAAAAAATCGGAAACTGGAATTAGAAAAATGTTTTCCAAAATTAGAAATTTTCGGAATCAGCAGAATTAGGTAATTCCAATTTTTCGGTCACATATAATACAAAATACATAATATTGATGTTTGAAGTGTAGTTTTCGGAAAAAAGTCGGAATTTTCACACAAAAAAATCAAAATAGAAATCGGGATCTAATATGTATTCCAATTCCACTCCAAAAAAAAATATCAGAATAAAAAATATTTTCCCAAAATCGGAAACTTTAGGATCAAATTGGCGGAATTCAGAAAAACCGGTTCCAATTTCCACACCTAGGTACAAACGACAAGATTAATGGAAAGATTTTGCAAAAGAAATCTCAAAGATGGAAGGATGCATTGATGTACTAAAATATAATATGGACGAAGAACTTTCGGGTATACTATTTCATATTAGCAAGAACTAAGTTGCAACTTATACTTCATTTTTAGCACAAACATTCAAGAAAATTAATTTAGCATACATACTCACCAATATTCTCCGGGTTGAATCGGGCCAGCAGACTTTTCAGCCTTCTTAACCAACCGATCGGGTATAAAATGCCCGTTTACGAAAACCTGCGATCCACCATCTTCCACAACTTGGCTGTTTGGTTTTCTGAAATCTCGAAAGCTCTTTTTAATAAGGCCCGCAAAGAAAGAATCGCCCGACCCTCTATTCACCTTTGCAGAATCTTCTTTACTCGTTTCAACAGAATCATGAGACACGTAGCTATTCGAAAACTCGTTTAACGGCACATCTATCTCACTTGCCGCCGCTGCATCTCTTACGGAACTTTGTTGTGAGACTGTCCTAGAAATAGAAACCTTATCTTCCTCAACTCTTTTACTCTTGTTCAATATGTCCGAACGATTGTCCGCAAGATTGTCGGGGGAATCGGGTTCTTGAAAAGAGTTCACTTTGGTTAAAGGTAACAACTTTGCAGATGGGAAATCGGGTTTTCTTGATAATATATTTTCGGGGCTCTGCTCGTTTTCAGAGAGACTCGAATTGGACGAAAGACGATCCAATTGCTTCTCAGAATCACCAGAATTCGACCTATTTTCTGTCGGAGAAAACTTGCTGCCCAAGTCATCAAAATCGTTCGAGCAACCATTCATATTGGCACTATTTGAACCGTTGTTCCAATATCTCACGTTTTCATCCACTGTCCCACTCGAGCCTTCGTCAATCTCAGTTGGTATTTGGTCAATATGCGAAGAAGCAGAAGCAATAAACCCTTTATTCCCAAGTTCAAACAAGATAATCGAAGAACACGCCCCGCACTTCATTTTCTGTTGACTTTTGGTCAAAGAAACGTGCTTTCTCGAAATCTTAAGCAGCTCGAAGCAATTACTGCACGCTATAAAAGGAGCGCCGCCAGCAATCGGGTGGCCCACTTTTACGCTCCTATGAGGCGCCACAATTTTCCTCGGACGGTGGTAATGCAACCCGTCTTTGTCCGAATCTAAGTCGTTCGAACTAAGAGTTAACGACTGTCGAGACTGAGATGGATGATAATTCGAACTATTATTCCCATGCGGTCGATGAAAATTTCGATTGGGAAGTTCATTTTGAGCCCTTCGATTATGCAAATCCAACGGATCAACCATATTATTAGTAGGTACATGCCAATTCTTGTCACAACAATGCACGCAAGAGCAAGCAGGCTGATGGAAAAAGTTTTCGTGGCGATGTAACATGAAAAGATCGTGATTTACATCACCAAATTGACCGTTGAAATTCTCGTGATAGGGCTGTTGTTGCGTGTATCGAGATTGAGGGGGCTGATGATGATGATATGGCGGCCTACGAAGAACTTCCGGTTGATTAGGATATTGCACGAATTCGTGCGGGTACCCTCTTTGCGGATAACCATAGTTTACTACGCCTTGTGGGCTAGGTAAACCCCCGTGAGCATGGCTTCCACCATGGTGATGTCTACCGTAAGGATCGGAGGGAGGAGGAACTATTCTCGTGTTCGAGGGGTTTTCGGTAATTTCACACGATCGAGTGATTTGGTCTTTCAGTTCATCGAGCTTCCTCAAGAGCTCCGCCCGGCCGTTTCCCAAAGATTCGATGCTATCTTGTTTGTAATAAGAGTTTGTGTTATAGCTCGACTGCCCTTCATCGTGGTGGTAAGAAAAGTCATCAAACCTCGTTTTTTGTTCGTCGTTCCTTTTCTCACCCCACTGGTTCGTAACGGGCCTAGTAGATCTTAACGGCTCCATTTGAGGCCTCGAATCTTGAACGTATTCGGGCCCACCACCAACTTTCGCCTCGGAATTTTTACCCCGATTTCGGTTACGGAAATGCCCATGAGAATATGATCCGTACTCGTCTTCGTCGGAACTTTCTAGTGTTCTGGCCATTCGTTCTTTTCCTATCCTTCTCTTATCGGAATCAGCTAGTGATGTGGAACTAGAACTACCACCGTTTGAAGCCAATCCTTTGTTGTGGAGTGTGTCGGAAACACCACCCTCGATTCTATCGGAACTTTCCATTTCTACCGTGGAAGCTTTGACTATATTATTATCTTCCTCGGAAATTTCTCTGCTCTTTATTACATCATCGGTTATCTCGGACGGTTCATCTTCAACAACCCCCTTCTTTTTAGCTGCACAATAATCGAAAAAACCCACAATTAATAATCAAGTATCTCGGCTTTGCTTGCGGAAAAATTTAGTCTCTAGGAAAAAAAATCGAATCTTTATCATCATTTGAATAGTTTCTTCAATAGAATTCCTACATTCATTTCTAATCAATCATTCCTAAATACATAGACAAACAACAAATATTTCTTTCAGACACTAATCTATTTAAACAAAGGTAAGAACAATATTGAATTAATTGCAAGCATCAAGATTCAAATCGAATTAGGTCATAATTTCTCAAAAAAGAAACACTTATTTTTCCACAACAAAATTCCCAACCAATAGCAGAAGAACCCAACTAAGTACCCAACACACAGAAAAAAAACAAAACCACAACTATGAACAAAACGGACGGAACCGTACCTTTGAGAACCGCACCGCAGCCCCCGCACTGGTAAATAGAGAAATCAGGAAGCTCAGGAAGAAGATTTTCACACTTTGGGCAACGCACTAACCTTACCTTTGCAGCTTCAGCCATTCTTTTTTTCTCTTTCTTAAATCAGAAAAATAATACACCAGATATTAATTAAAATTAAAAAAATTAAAAAAAATAAAAATTAAAAAAAAAAAAAAAAGAATCTATGGTCTAGCTTTCATTTTGCAGGCCACCAAGAAACGGTAAGAAAAATAAAACCCTCAAAAAAGTCAACTTAAATAAAAATGAAAAAAAAATTGAAGCCCACAAGAGCAAGATCATCAATGCAGCTGTGCATACATAACACCCCACCCAACTAATTATTGATTTTATTTATTTATTTAATTTGAGAAAGGAATAAATGCTAAAATAATTATGTGCAAAAGGGTCACACTCAATAGGTGGAATTTGTACCCAAAAAAACAAGACAAAAAAAAGTACTATGAATTCTTGACTTTTTTTTTTTTATTTTTTTTTTGGGGAATTTAGGTTTTGTGAAATTTACAGAGGTTTTTGAGGAACAGCAAGAAAGCAAAGTACGTGTAAACAAAACAGAAGTGGGACTGTTTATTTGTTTGTTTATCCTTGTCTTTATGCTTTCTCATAATAATGGAGATTGAGAAAATTCTTTATTAAAGTTCAAAATATTTATTTTTATTTATTAAATAAAAAAAAAGCTGGAATTTTGTGTTTTCCAAGAAAAGGGTTTGCTTGGATTTGGAGGGAATTGTGAGTATGATAAAGACTCCATTGCCAACAATTTCTTACTTTTTTCTTTGATTTTAGGGTAAATTACGGCGCCCCTGAAGTATGGTCAAATTACGAAAAACACCTCTCATGTTTGGATAATTACAACGACCCCTCAACTATGAATCTTCTTACAGGCCCACTTTTATTGTGTCAAATTCAACATAATCTTATAGATGCCGTGGAATGTTCTCTAGTTTGTACTCGTTTTGTGCAAAAATGCAATTTTTTATGAACGACAATCTGATATATACAAGCCAAAAAACACATCTTGCTTCAAAATGTGGAGCTCGAATGGGATAAAGCGAGTATAAAATTGAGAATATTCCATGTAATCTAGAAAATGCCACTAAATTTGACACCGCATGGGTGGACGTGTAAGAAGATTTATAGTCGAGGGAGGTGGTTGTAATTACCCAAACAAGAGAGTTTTTTTGTAATTTGACCATACCTCAGGGGGTTGGTTGTAAATTACCCTTGATTTTATTTGGTGCATTCAGACTAATCAGCATGGGACCGGGCTAAACGGTGTAGTTTTAGAGGTGTGAGCAGTAATACGGCGTCGTAATGACTTTTACCCAAAGCTGCTTTGGCAAAAGAAAAAGGGAAAAAAAGGAAAAGGAAAATTGGTAAGGTGGTGTTTGGCAAATACCCAAATTTTCAGAGGCCTGAGCAGAGCAGTGTGGATGGGATGCCGTTAAAGTTGACAGCTGTCAAGATTCATTCTTTTAACTTTAGTTTTTTCTCAGTCAAAAGTAATTAAACGAATATTGGGTTTGTTTACCAAAATGCCCCCATGTTCCTATTTTTATGGATGAAATGCCCTAAATTCGAACTTGGCGATTAATGAAGTAGTAATTTACGGTCATCATCCCTGAAGTAAGGTTAAATTATGAAAAAATATCTCTTGTTTGGATGATTAAAAGTTACAACAATCCCTTTTAACTATTAATCTGCTTACATGTTCATCCTTACGGTGTCAAATATAGTGGAATCTTCTAGATTATGTGGAATATTCTGCAGTTTGTACTCGTTTTACCTCATTCGAGCTCCACATTTTGAAACAAGATGATCATAAGATGTGTCGCTTGGCTTGTAAATAGCAGATTTTGGTGCATCAGAAAACTGCATTTTTGCACAAAAGGAGTACAACCTTACAAATTAGTGAACATTACACGGAATCTAGAAGATTATGTTGCGTGGGTGATTATAATTACCCAAACAAGATATATCTTTTTGTAATTTGACATTACATCATGGAATGGCCGTAATTTATCCTATATATTTTTACATGATATGATATTAAATTTGTTTTGAGTTTAGCTTCTATAGTTTGTGTTTGGTTTTATTCTAACTCGTTCTTGTTCGATCTACTGATTAGTTAAATCAAATTCTTTAACTGATCACTTTCAAAACCAGATGAAATTTCAAAAAATCTTGAACAATTACGCGTTTGATTTGACTCGATACGTTGCTAAAAACATTTGAAAGACTTTATGTGATTATTTTTTATTTATTTATAGAAAGATGTATTATTTATTAAATTAAATGTTAGACCTCTTTAATGAAAAAGCAGTGATGCTTAACATGTAGTAATCAAATAGAGATAAATTTAAGTAGAAGAAGTATTTGAGGTGATGTATTTGGTGGGAAAAACGTTGTTGTCTTGATTTTTCAAATGGGTGTAATAAAATTCAATAATATTTTCTGCCCAAACAAGTTGCATACCAAAGTCTATACGAAATAATAAATAAATTAATTAATTAAAGAAATTTAATTTGTTGACTTTGTTTCGATCCCATTTAGTTTATAATATATTCACGTTTTTTTATTTAATTGGACTACCCAATCTAATGTTTCCTATTTGTTTTACTTTGATTCTTGTTTGTTTTTTAAGTGACAATTGACAGCTATTACCGTAGTACTTACACGCATATTGGGAAATATTTAACAAATTTGATTCTAACATAGTTACATAAATACCCTTAAGAATATCTTAATTTAGGGGCGAGCAAGTCGGGTCCATCAAACGGTTGAGACTGTCAAATCCGTGAAAAATTGTCCCGCTAGGACCGGACGAGTAAATTCATCAATAGGATGAGGTCCGAAAATGGAAAAGATCCGCAGATTTGGATTAAAAGTTCAATTTCTTTTTAATTCCCATGAAACTCGTCCAACCCGTCGTACGAAAAATATTGTTTTGTTAATATTATGTATAATAAATTATTAATATGTAATAAATAAAGTATATCTTGTATATCAAATAGATATAGGACGTTAGTTTTGCTTGTTGGTGACAATGCTATAGTTATTTATTTTTATTTTAAATTTTATCTCACAAGTTTTGAATTAGCTACTCTTTATAATGGATTTTATGGTTAAAACTGGTATTTATTTTGATTTACTCTCGACATTTTTATTATTATTCATGTTGCTTTCAATTTAAAATTTTAGAAGATTCATTCTAATTTTTAAATATTTTTTCGTAAAACTTATAAATTATAAAAAAACAAAAAAAATTAAACGATAACGGGTTTCGCCCCTAAAGGTTATGTCTTACTACAAATCGGTCAAGGATCCACCTATCGTAAATCCATAAAAACTCACACGTTTAGTTCTTTAAAATCAAAAACCGTTGTTTGACGGGACGATGGTGGATTTTGCTAGAACCTGCTGGTTTTTGACAAGCGCGCACACACCCTACTTATTTTTTTAAATATCTCCCTCAATACATATAAATAAAATTGTAAAAAAATAAATAAATAAATAGAAACAAGTCGTAAATTCATATTAATGAATATAATTAGATGAATTAGGGTTTGAGTTGACATAATAAATTTAAAACTCACTCAATCTAGAATTGTTTGAAAAATAAAAGATTGTCCTTTCAATTAAAGAATAAGCGCGTTGTCGAAATAGAGGAGTCGTAATCTATGAATAATGATTTTGACCTGTCACGAGTGCAAATTTAGTCTCCTCTAAATTAGAAGTGGTCAACTTCAAAGTTTCGAGTTATATTTATAATTTTGTAATATATTTATTATATAACGTGCTACCTAATATTTAAAATAATATTATTAGCAAACGAATGTTTGTGATGACTACGCAGGACACGTATTCTGTAGTCTTTGCATCTGAAAAAAACTAAGTTATTTTATTTTTTAGGAAAATCGTGACTTTATTAGGCTATATTAGCCAAATCAGAAGGCAAAATTTGGCTCTCGTAACAATTTGAACTGGAGTTCTTCGCAATAGCGTGGGCAAGAAGATTACCCGAACGCTTTACGAAAGCATAAGGACAGAAAACGAACTCTCTAGATATGATAAGACTTTTTTTTCTATTAAAGCACCATAAGAAGTTTCGAACAACGATTTATTCTGAAGAGTGTTGATTATAGTAGTAAATTGTCACCTTCCAACACTATAGATAGACGCACACTCGGTTTGTGGATTTGAATAGCTGATCAAAGTATTATGTGATGATCTCTCTTCCCTTTTCTCTTTTCAATCCCCAAATGCGTTTCGGATCTTATGGACTTGGTTGATACTATTTCTTTGATCAGATGCTTTAGCGTAATTTTTTTTCATATTTTTGTCCCCTCACGAAAATCCACTGAATCGTGTTGAGTTGTCTCTAGTAGGTATCATTAGCAACATAGAGGCGCTCCAATTCCGCATTACGCTCTCAAAGCTCGGCCACCTTAGCATCCGTTTGGGCCCCCTGTGGATAATACGTGAATTTTTTGTTTCACCTTTTCAATTACTTTCTTAGGCTGATCATATCCTTGATAATTAACGTGAGAGACTCTTGCTTGCTTGATCAGCACAGCACACGCCTGATCAAGTCGACATCGTATTGTATACAGTTCCCATTGGTTGTTCGACCAAGTGAACAGAAAGCCATCAAAACCCAAATCCGTAAGTCCATACCACTCAAGGGACAAGGGTGTCTCGCGAAACGCCTCCACCTGCCACGGGAGTCGCGAATTACCTTGCATCTATAAATTTAGAATACTTGAATATCAGGAGAGAGAGAGAGAGAGAGAGAGAGAGGGGGGAATATACACAAGGCAATAGGTGTTAAATGAAAAAAAAATACGCAAACAATATCACTTAAAAAAATAATTTAATATTATTATATATTTCAAAAATTATTTAATTGCATACTAATTTATACGCATGTAATCTTGTAGGCCCAAACTTTCTAAATGCAGCCCAGACTAAAAGAACCCTCTCCATTTATTTTACTGCAAAAGAAAAAGGGACAAAACGTAAACTTTTTTCTTCAAATATAATTACGCGAGTAAATAAAAAAATTAATAATTTGGGTTGTTTTAGAAAGATCAACACTAGTCCTTGTCTTCATCAATTATCATTACAAGATGCAATTCATTTCATTTATTTTCTTTTCTTTATTCAATTGTCAAGTTGTTTTAGTACGTTCGAATCCACAATACTCCCGTTTATATTTTTTTCCATTTTGCCGCGTCATATTAGTGAGGCATAACAATAATGGGATGTTATTCGAATTTACAATACTCTAATTTATACTCGTACTTGTCACGTCATACTGGTGGGGCATGATAATAACGGAATGTTATTCAAATCCACAATACTCCAATTTAGACTCATTTACCGCGTCATACTGATGAGGCATGATAGTAACGAGATGTTTAGTAACATCTTATTTATGTTATGAACAAAAACTAAATTTCCTCATAGGTTTCACACACTAATTAACCTTAGATTAACCCTTTTAATTTTCACATTAATTAACCTTAGATTAACCCCTGTAATAAAATTTGTTATATAGTGGAAGTACTTAACCAATTTAAAAAAACTACTTAACCAAAGAAAAGGCAATTGCATAAATATTGTTAATCCATCAACAACATAGCTTTCATGAACAAACCGTTTTATTCATGCAATAATATAAACACACACACACACACACACACACACACACACACACACACACATTATTTCTTCATGATCAAACCAATTCGACTGAAAATTTTGAAAATTGTACTCTTCCCATTTTTCACTCTTTTGTGAATAATTACATTCTTCTTCTTCTTCTTCTTCGAGTAGTCTATGCAAATTTCTTCCTTCTCTTGAAATTCCGACGAACTCGACTGAAGTCCGCCAACTGTCGTAAACGGAAACACCATCATGTGCCTCTCGATAATATTAGCTACCGACACCAACTCATGAGCATCGTACAACGGACTCCCACAAACACAATCGCACTCTAATTTTGCACTATTTTTCATTTCTTCTTCATTTTCATGATCTTCTAATTTCTTCTCCATTTATATTTTTTGAATGACCTAATTTTACTATTGTTCGTCATGGAATCTTGTCGCGTGCACATGGGCTTATTTGATGCTGCACATGTTGATTGCCGTCGTAATTATTTGAATTATTAAATACTCGTGATAAAATAAAAATTGTTTGTGATTGGACACGTGGGAGCATGTGATTGGCTATAAAAATGTTGTCTTTCGATTAGATTTATTAGCTCGGAATTATCTATGTTGAAATAAATGAACCGAACAACCCAACATCGGCGGTCCCAACTACTTTTTTCCTAGTTTATTAATTGTGACAACCTAATTTAATTTTTCAATTTCTTTTATATTTATATTTTTAATTATGGCATTGACTTTTTCATTGTTGTCTATAGTTGTTGAAATTTGAACCCTAAGTTGTCACTTTATACACTGAGTCACACTTGGTCCCCTCGTGTCAACGTCTCGTCCGTTTTTTAAAATTTAGGGTAAATTACAACCATCCCCTTAGGTATGGTGAAATTACGAAAATCCCAATTATGTTTGGGTAATTACAACAATCCCCTTTAACTATAAATTTTCTTATACGTCCACCCTTGCGGTTTCAAATTTAGTGGAATCTTCTTGATTATATAAAATATTATCACTTTTGTACCCGTTTTATCCCATTCGATCTCCACATTTTGAAGCAAGATGATCATAAGATGTGTTTTTGGTTTGTATATATCAAATTGTGGTGCATCATAAACTTATTTTACGCAAAACGAGTACAAACTAGAGCACATTCCACGAAATCTAGATGATTATGTTGAATTTGACACTATTAGGGTGGAGGTGTAAGAAGATTCATAATTGAGGGGTAAATGTAATTATCCAAACAAGAGGGAATTGTTCGTAATTTGACCATACCTCAGGGATGATTGTAATTTACCTTAAAACTTATAAGCTCTTAAAAAAAATTTATAAAATGTCTAAGAATTTATAAGTTTTTCTAAAGTGTTCTGTATTTTTTGTAAAAGAGATCTTAATTTTTTTTGAAAAAGCTGCTTGAGAATTGTTTAAGAAAATACATCTACCCCACAAGATATAGCTTATAAGTTATAAGTTTATGATCCAAGCACTTTAAAATTAATTCTAAAAATAAAACTTAGTGGACTATCCGCTCTTAAAACAGTTTATTTGATGTTACAGCTTATGAATAACACACAATGTCTTATTGAATTTATGAGTCCAAGAAAGAGAAAAAAACACACTTTCCAGGAAATCTACTATACAAAAGAAATGCCTAGTGATATTATCACAAAGCAATAGTTCCTTAACTGCAAAACACTAAATTTGAACTTAATAACTACACAAAAATCAAAACAAATCAGAATAATATTTTCCTATACCCCCTCCCCTGTAACAACCTCAAAGAATAGAACAATACACATACTTACTGACAAGAAATACGAAAAAGACTCGACTGAAAAAATATACCAGTAAAACAAGTTCAGAGATTGATATAGAAAAATACCCCATTAAGCAGCGATCTGCCGTCTTCCGCCTCTCGATTTCGCAACCATTTCTTTGAGCTCATCGTATCTGTTTCGATGATATTCAATCCAAATACTCAGTTGTTTTATCGCCTCGATTTTCTCCTCACCCAGGCTAACCAATCCCAAATCTTTCTCCTCTATCTTTTTCTCCAGCTCTCCCACATTTTCGATTAAGCTTTTCTTTTCGCTTTCGTTTTTTCGAAGTACGATTTCCATTTCACCGATTTTTCCCTCCAAAAGCAGCTCTTTATCTTTCTCTTCATTCAGTTGTGTAGCTAGACTGGCAATATCCTTCTTTAGCTTCTCTCTCTCGATATTAGTTTCTCTGATGCAGTTCGTTGCGACTTTAAGCTCATTCACAAATTCGTAGACACGAGATTCTAAGTGGCCATAGTCTTCCTCAAACTTCACGTGGAATGCATCGATTCCAGTCGATGTAAGATCTACATTCTTCGATATTTCTGCTACTATTTTCGTTTCGGCTTCTTTGTGAACAGCAATTATCCTCGCAAACTTAGCGACCCTCTCTTCGAGCAATTTTTGCTCTTCGTGCAATTTCTCCTCTTTCTTCAGGTGGTCTTCATCTTTCTCGCTTAATAGCTGTTCTGTGATCTTGAGCTTCTGACTTATCAAGCGGTGCTTAACCTCGATATTTCGTACATTTTCTACCAACGTATTTATTTCATCCACTTTCATTTCAAGATCTCTCTTTAGCTCCTCTATATTTTCTTGCAGTAGATCGATGTCTTGAGTTTTCGCTTCAGTGTCGTTGTGGAACTGCAGTGTCATCTCTTCTATCTTCTTCTCTGCTGATTTGAGATTCTCCTCGCTTTTTTGGAACTCAACTTCCAGTTGTTTGTGCTCATCGGACAATTTGATCAATGCACCTTCTTCTTCTTTCAGCTTCGTCTCGTTTTCTGCGATCTTGTTCAATAACTCAACGTTATTTTTGTCAGCGAGAGACAAACTCTCTGTGGATTCTTGCTTGCTTCTCTCGATTTGCACTTCCAATTGGCTTTTCTCAGACTGCAGCAATTCCAGCTCTTTCTGTAACGACTCAACCTGTTTCGTCAAAGCAGAAACTTCAACGGATGCTTCATTCTGCACTTCCTCCATTTTTTTCTGGACAGAAACGACCTCGTCCCCTCTCTCTACTAACGTCTTTTCTAATTCAATGATCTTGCTCTCGAGGACACCCTTCTCCTCCCTCAACTGATTTCCCTCATCAAGTTTGATACTTATTTCATCTTCCAGTTCACCTTTATTACGACGAAGAGTCTCCAGCTCCAGTTGAAGATCCTTCACCTGTACTGTCAGACTTTCCTTCTCTTCCAGTAATCTTTCTCCCTCACCAGTTTTGCTTGACAGCTCCTCTTTTAGATGTTCAATCTGTACAAGGAGTTCTGATATTTCTCCACTCTTTTTATCAAGAATTGTGTCTGCTTCGCTTTTCTGAGCACCCAAAGAAATCAGTTGCTCTTGAAGACCGTTTACATCTGCAGTCAATGCCGTGATTTGGGCAAGTGATCCACTCTCTCCTTCTTCGTATTTTTTCTGTAAAGTGGAGAGTTCGTTCTCTTTCTCAATCAATGCTCTCTCCATAACAGAACTTCTATCTTCCAGTTTCGCCCTTTCTTCTTGCAACTGACTGAGTTCCTCGCTTTTGCTCCTCAACTGCTCTTCGAGTTCTTGTTTCTGGTCACTGAGGATGTTGAACTCCGTTTTAAGGTTATTTAATTCCAAGACAAGACCATCTCTCTCCTCCAATGTTTTCTGTTTCTCTGAGGTTCTTGTCTCCAGCTCTTTTCCTAAAGTCTCTGTCCGAATCGTTAACTCTGAGATTTCTTTGCTTTTCCCTTCTAACTGTTCCTCCTGTTCCAGTTTTTGATTGCGTAAGGAATTGAGCTCCATTTCCAGATCCTTCACTTGTAACATAAGATTCTCCTTTTCTTCGATGATTCCATTTAGCTCAGAGTTTTTGTTTGCCAACTCTTCTTTCAGATTCTCTATCTGGGTCACGAACTCGGAGATTTCCTTAATTCTTTTCTCCAGTTGTGCTTCCGATTCAACTTTTTGGTTGTGCAGCGACTCCAATTCCACCTGCTTTGTGTTTACCTGATCTGTCAAGTCCTTGATTTTAGCCGAGGCTTCATTGTTTTTATGAACAATTTGCTCTTCCAGCTCAACTTTTTGGCTCCGCAAGGACTCCACCTCAGCTTGAAAGCTGTTGTTCTGTGCTTTTAGATCATTTATTTGGTTTAATAAACCCAACTCTTGATCCTCAAGTTTTTTGAGAAGAGCAGACAGTTCATCATTTTTCTGTTTCTCAATCTCTCTCCTTTGAGTGTGTGATGAATCAAGCTCCAGTTCCAAATCCCTCGTACGAATTGATACTTGCTCTTTGTGAGCATGATGAGTCTCCAGGTGAGTTGAAAGCTCTCTTTCTTTCTCAGCCAATTTATGGCTTGATTCTGTAACAAGATCTTGAATCTTGTTTTCGGCTTCTTTTATCTCATCAACGAGCTGTGCAATTTTCAGTGAAAGGCTTGCGTTCTCCTCTTCAGAAGCCTTTTGCATCTGACTCAGCTTTGCAATTTCATTTGCTGCTGATTCCAGTTTCTCCCTTGCTTCTTCTTTTTGCGCCTCGTGGCTTTCTAGGTGACTCAAAAGCTCTTTCTCCTTGTCAGCCAAATTTTCTCTCAACTGGCTTGATTCAATTACAAGCTCTTGAATCTTGTTTTCAGACAGTTTTATCTCATTCTCGAGCTCTGAAATCTTTAAGGAAAGATTATTGTTCTCCTCTTCGGCAGCCTTTTGCGTCTGAATTAGCTTAACTATTTCTTCTTCTGCTGATTCCAGTTTCACTTTGTAAGCGTTGTGAATCTCCAGGTGACTCGAAAGCTCTTCTTCTTTCTCAACCAATTTTTCACTCAACTGGCTTGATTCAGTAGCCAGATCTTGAATTTTTTTCTCGGCCATTTTTATCTCATTCTCGAGTTGTGAAATCTTCAAGGACAGGCTCGTTTTCTCCTCTTCAGCAGCACTGTGCATCTGAGTTAGCTTAGCAATTTCATTTGCTGCTAATTCCGATTTCTGTTTTGCTTCTTCTTTGTGAGCCACGAGAATCTCCAAGTGACTTGAAAGCTCTCCTTCTTTCACAACCAATTTTTCACTTAACTGGCTTGATTCATTAACAAGTTCTTGAATCTTGCTTTCGGCAATTATTATTCCATTCTCGAGCTGTGAAATCTTCAAGGACAGGCTCGTTTTCTCCTCTTCAGCCGCATTGTTCATTTGAGTTAGCTTAGCAATTTCATTTGCTGCTAATTCCAATTTCTGAATTCCTTCTACTTTGTGAGCCTCGTGAATTTCCAGGTTACTTGAAAGCTCTCCTTCTTTAACAACCAATTTTTCATTTAACTGGCTTGATTCAGTTACAAGTTCTTGAATCTTGCTTTCGGCCATTTTTATCTCATTCTCGAGCTGTGAAATCTTCAAAGACAGGCTCGTTTTCTCCTCTTCAGCCGCATTGTGCATCTGCATTAGCTTAGCAATTTCATTTGCTGCCAATTCCGATTTCTGTTTTGCTTCTTCTTTGTGAGCCTCGTGAATCTCCTGTTGTCTCGAAAGCTCTTCTTCTTTCTCAACCAATTTTTCACTCAACTGGCTTGATTCAGTAACAAGTTCTTGAATTTTGCTTTCGGCCATTTTTATCTCATTCTCGAGCTGTGAAATCTTCAAGCAGAGGCTCGTTTTCTCCTCTTGAGCGGCATTGTGCATCTGAGTTAGCTTAGCAATTTCATTTGCTGCCAATTCCGATTTCTGTTTTGCTTCTTCTTTGTGAGCCTCGTGAATTTCCAGGTGACTCGAAAGCTCTCCTTCTTTCACAACCAATTTTTCATTTAACTGGCTTGATTCAGTTACAAGATCTTGAATCTTGTTTTCAGCCATTTTTATCTCATTCTCGAGCTGTGAAATCTTCAAGGACAGGCTAGTTTTCTCCTCTTCATCGGCATTGTGCATCTGACTTAGCACAGCAATTTCTTTCGCTGCTGATTCCAGTTTCTCTTTCGCATCTTCTTTGTGAGCCTCGTGATACTCCAGGTGACTCGTGAACTCTCTTTCTTTCACAACTGTTCTTTCACTTAATTGGCTTGATTCAGAAATAAGATCTTGAATCTTCTTTTCGGCCTGTTTTATATCTTCTTCAAGCTGTGAAATTTTCGAGGAAAGACTACTGTTCTCTTCTTCGGCAGCCTTTCGCATATCATTTACTTTATCAATTTCTTTTTCTGCCGATTCCAGTTTTTCTTTTGCTTCTTCTTTCTGAGCCTCGTAACTCAAAATCTCTCTTTCTCTGTCAGCCAGTTTCTCACCTAACATACTTGATTCAGTTACAAGATCTTGAATCTTGTTTTTAGCATGTTGTATCTCTTCTTCAAACTGCGAAATCTGTGAGGAAAGACTAGTTTTCTCCTCTTCAGAAACCTTTTGCATCTCAATTAGCTTAGCGATTTCATTTTCTGCCGATTCCAGTTTTTCCCTTAGAGTAGAAAATTCTACCTTCACGGCTTCCAGTTCCAGCTGTACGGTGTCTTTCTCGAGTTGTAATTGGCCATTAACGAGTCTCAAGTCTTCAGTACTTTTCTTCGCCTCATCGATTTTGCAGAGAGCAGCCTCTCTCTCCACACTCACGGCTTCCAATTTCTGGCTCAGTTCAGCTTGTAGCTTATGTGAACTCTCCAGTTCTATTTTCAGATCACCATTTTCAACAAAAAGTTTTGAACTCTCATCTTTCGATCTTTCAACTTCAGCATTTAACTCTGTTATAATTTTCTGGGCTTCCTCTGTTTTGCTCAAAACACTTTGGTAATCCCGATTCAGTGTTTCGTTTTCATCTAAAGTGATGGTCAACTTACTCTTCAACTCAGCAACTTCAAAAAGTGCCGCTTCGAGTTCTTGCTTTTCGAAACTTTTCTTAACTTCGCCATTTTTTTCGCCCTTTTTCTTTGGTGATGACTGATCTGAGTCCGAGGAATCTGAGCTGGACGAAGAACTGTCCTTCCCGTTCTTCCCGTGTGCTTTCTTTCTCAGCTCTTCAGTCAGATGATCGTAATGCGCGAAAAGAGACTGGTAATGATTGTTAAAATCCTCAATCAAATCAACCAGTGGCTCTTTTCCATCATTATCATCTTCTCTCAGCGACTTCAAGATTTTCTGCACCCTGTCCTCCATTTCTGCAATTAATTAGGCAAATTAGCAAGCGAAACTTGAAAATAAAAAAGAAATCTTCATAGAGGGTTATATTTGTCGTTCAAAATAGCACGAAAGCGATACCTGCTCTGTTTCCTCTAAGCTCCTCATCCTTTACGGAATCGACGTGACTTCCAAAAAAGGATTTGAACGACTTGCGCCAGCGATGCTTAGGCATCGTTTTTTGTTTTTGAGCAATAAACCTGGACAGTAAACCACAACAAAGTCGAGTTCAGTGAGAAACTAAGATTAAAATATTTAGCCAAACAAGTTATCTACAAATACATTCTGATGCTAAGTATCAAAAAATTTAAATGGTTCTTTGCAAATATTATTTACAACCAGATACAAGTTTAATGGAGACACACTGAATAAAAAAACTGCTGTTTATTATTTTTTTTCTTTTTTTTTTTGTAATGCAAGTATGTAACATAAGACAGTGTAGATACTTACACAGAAAGCAAGGACAGTCCAAACAAGCAAATGTATGTGTAATAAGATTGCATGAGAATACACATTATGAGTTTCAAAATGATCTCTCACTCAGTTTCTTGTATTTATTTCTTTTTAACCTTTTGATTGAAATGTGATGAAAGTAGATTTCCTTTGTGGACCAAAAGGTGATTACGTTTCACCTCATTTATTGTCACCAACAATAACTCCCTACGAACATATATCAGCAGACCTAAATTCGTTTTGTGAGATAACTAAATTTAGTGTACATAGATGCTACTCCATGTAGTTTCATAATTCATATGCTACCAATTGAAAGTGACACTTAGACTTTTATTTATTTATACCATAATTATTTTAGACGTATAAAATATGTGATGGGAATTGCTACAGGCATCAAGCTCAAGACAAGCTCTCAAGTTATGTACCTTTCTCTTAAATGAAATGACCAACTCTACACGAAATGGTAAGACTGTTGGAAACTAGGGTTAGGTAATTAGGCCATTGTTTTTGTCTTTCTCAAGATCTATTCTTTAATTATTCTCTACCACACTCTTAACTTCATAATTAACAATACAACCATTACATATGGTTGCAAATCATAAGCTGAATAAAGATTTATATCAGGGAATTTATTCAATTATGCAAAGAGTGCAAACACTTATTACAATTAAAACTACATCTTCGCTATGTGAAATGTTCAAGAATCGAAAATGTTACCATGCTGCAAATCTTCCAGAAAATGCCAAAGGCTGTATACTCAATAGATACAAATTGTAGGGGCATAGATGTAAAGAATTTTATACAGAGAGATATTTCAACAAAACATTCAAGAAGAGCCAAAAAAATGGATATCCAGAAGTAAATTTCATATGCATATATGTTCGCATAACTACTACTTCCATTGCATATCTACATTACTATCTGACAATGAATGTGTGTGTGTGTATATATATATATATATATATATATATATATATATATATTGAAAATAATGTGTGAGGACAAACCATGTGATGAGATATGCTGTATGTATGCCCTACCATGGCCCATAGATACATACTGTGGTCAATCCTAAAATAAATGCAGCAGAGACCCAAAATTCCCAAATTGTGGAGGATTCTTAGTACAAAATAAAACTTAGTATATTTTAAACAAGATTAAAAAAAATACATAGGCTCCAATATATATATATATATATATATATATATATATATATATATATATATAAGACCTCCATGAAAGTAACTTTTTTCAAATTTGAAACTCAAAGACAACAGCTAGATGATGGGAACTATAGCTTGTCTTATATGAAAAGGGGAGTTTCAAGGATACAGCTAATTGTGGTCATTATTTGAATAATACGTGTTTAGAAAAAAGTTTCTCTCTCTTTTTCATTAATTAATTTCTTTTAAAATGGGAAAATGACATTTTATTCTATTTTAATTTTAATTTTATCTAAGCTAATCAGATAAATACAGTCCCCATATCCAAAAAGCGAACAGGGGTAAAAGAGACAAAATCTTCTTCTCGAACTTGCTTTTTTTTCATTTTTGTTCGAATGATTGGTTTAAACTTTAAACAGATGGATTAATGGAGCACCAAACACGAAATCTTCATATATATATATGTTGGCACGAGATTTCTATTTGTGAAGATTGAAGAAATCCACCATACGTGGAAATTAAAGATTGGCAAAGATTTGTTTTCCATGTTTATTTTGGAATTAATTAGAGTCCTATTTTTGTAATATTGTTATTAGGACTTAGATTTATTTCCATGTATTATATTCTAGTTAGGTATCTTTTGTATTTATCTAGAATAGAAGTAGAAATCGACTAGGATTCTATTACCTAGTTAATCGATTTCTTAGGGCTCAAGTTAGGTTTAGGGTGGTGGATTTCGTGCCTATATAAGGCCCTCAACCTCATATGAGTCCAATGGAGCTTTAAAAAGATAAATCCCAGCATAAAGGCTTTGAAGGGTGCAGCCCGTGCTGCAGCCCTGTCTGCACGGCAGGTGTGGCAACAGAACAGGTTTCTTCTACCAGGCCATAAAGAAGATCGGCGTTTCGGGAGAAGTGCTTAAAAGATCTCGGGAGAGGTCGATCCGCCGTTTGAAGGAAGTTCAACATTGGAGGAAGTCCAAGAGTGCGGAGGAGGAATTGCTTTGATTATCAACAAGTTCGAGTCGTGTGCAAGAACGGCGTATCACATAAAGAGGGAGTCTTTAGTGTTTTATTAAGTCCTATTAATGTACACATAAATCTGAACTAGTTTTGCAAGTCCTCGTGGATGTAGGGTACGTTTGTATCCGAACCACATTAAATTGTTGTGTTCTTTATTCTGCTTTTCGTAGATTTATTACTGTGACAACACAACAATTCTGTTACGTCACCTAATGTCGTAACATGTAGTCTGTCTCAACAGATGAGTGGACTTTGATAGGCATTCAAATTCAACAATATATATATATGTATATAAACAAACTCAATCATCAGAATTCAGAAACACTTGATCTTGTAAAACAACATACAGAAACAAACTCAATCACGAAATCAAACAGATCGTCAGAATCTCATCTCAACTGATGAAGAAGATAAAGCTCAATTCTCAACTAAAATTAACAATCGAGTTTGACAAACTGATTAAACTCAACTCAGACGAACTCGCCAACATCGCTAACTCAGTAGCAACAAAAATTCATTCCAAACAGAAAAAAAAAACTACTAAATTCACAAATTAAACCGATTAAACAGAGTAAAATTTGATTAAATTAAATTAATCAAGGAATATTATTACCTCAGAATCCGAGCGAGCTCATCTGCAACCGCAACCGCAACTGACTGGCAATTCACCAAAAAGCTTTTTTTAGAGAGAGAGAGATCAGATTTTTAGAGAGAGAGAGAGAGAGTGTGTTTAGTGTGGTTTTATGTGTGTGTGTTTAAACTGAAGAGGCAAATTGTATTGTATGGTGGCGATGAATTTTATTGGCTGGAAAATTAAGTATGAAAAAAAATATATTTGGATTGTATTATATTATATTAATAATTAATTAAGAAAAATAAGAATAAAAAGGAGAAACCGAAAAAGTTGTTTTGTCTGGTATTATTATTATACAGAGAGATCACAGCGACTGGCACTGCAATTGGCGCTTCAATTTCATTTGGTGGATGAGAGAGAGAGGGTGGTTTTTTTGGACTTTTCGGTCTTTTAATTGCCCTTCGACTTTGGTTAATTTACGGGATTGCCATTGATCTGTTGATTTTGAAAATTTTCGATGGTGAAGAATGTGTGGGAAAACATGACCGAATTATTGCCTAATTATTTGTCAGGGTGTATTTTTGTTCATATGTGGAAAGCCAGATCATCATTTGCAGTTTTCACAGTTTATTATTAATAAATAATTAATTAAATATTGATTTAACATTTTTTTAAATTATAGTACTGATTTAATTTAGTACGAAACTTCTATATTGTAAATATATAAATTGATTGGAAAAGTTAAAATGTAACATGCACATGTTTGTTACATTTTTTTACACCAAGTAAGAGCAAGGAATTAAAGTTATCAATGTCACATTGTTAATTTAAAAATGGGGAAATCACAGTTTACACCCCTCAAGTTTGCACCGAATTCATATTTGGCCTCACATGTTCACAAAAGACATGTTTGGTCCCTTATGTTCCAAAAATTTCACTTTTTTTTCCGTCAATTTAACGATAGTCCGTTAGTTAAGGTAGTGATTGGGAGCACGCTTATTCAGTTAGTTTTAACGGGAAATTGACGGAAATGACTAAAAGTGTTTAATTTTTAAAATATAAGGGACCAAATGTATTTTTATGAACATGGAGACCAAATATGAAATCGGTGCAAATACGTTGTAAGAAAAAAAAATCATTTTAAATATAAACAATTTATATAAAAGCTCTGAAAAAATGACAATAATTGGCACCAAATAGACATTTATACCCCTAGTAAAGATGATACCATGTTTCATTGAGATACACAAATTTAGCCAGGCAAAAATAGAAAGAAAAAAATTGAAATAATGTTGTAATTTTACGGAAATAGTTTATTCTGTCAAATCCATCATATACGAATAAATTAATAATATGGCTTAAATAATAATTTATTCTGGTTTCGACTCGGTAAAATCGTACTAAATTATTAGTTGGATAATTTAATATTTCGCTAGATTAATAAAATAGTCTCAATTGTATTAAATTATGGAGGTTTAACTATGGGAAAATACAGTTTTCATCCCTCACATTTGCACCGATTTCACATTTCGTCCCTCATGTTCACAAAAGACACATTTGGTCTCTCATGTTTTAAAAACTCAACAATTTTAGTCATTTTCGTCAATTTTCCGTTAAAACTAACGGAATCAAGCGTGTGCCCATAACTGCCTTAGCTGGCTGACGAACGGTAAATTGACGAAAATGACCAAAAATGTTAAATTATTAAAACATGACGGACCAAATATGTTTTTTGTGAATATAGAAAACCAAATGTGAAAACGATGCAAACGTTAGGCCCGAGAACTGTAATTTCCCCGTTTAACTATATATCACATCACAAATTTTGAGTATTCTCAAGTCCATTAGCAGATGTAGAGAAAAAAAAATATTGGGAAAAATACAGTTTATATCCCTCAAGTTTGCACCAATTTCACAATTGGCCCCCCTTTCATAAAAACCACATTTGGTCCCTTATGTTGTCAAAAATTCAATATTTTTAGCAATTTCCGTCCATTTTCCGTTCAAACTAAAGGAATCAAGAGTGTGTCCATCACTGCCTTAACTAACGGGCTAACGGTAAATTGACAAAAGGGACAAAAAGATGTTAAATTATTGGAACATTATGGACCAAATATGTTTTTTTGTGAACATAGGGGACCAAACGTGAATTGGTGAAAACTGTAATTTCCACAAAAAATATTCCAATGTAAGAATTTATTTTCTTACAAAGTTTGGCCAAACAACCAACCTCAAAAACAATAAACAAAATCACATAATTATTTATTCACTCACAATTTTCAATAAATTAATTAAACATTTTTTTTTTTTGTAATTTTTTTTCTCCTCTCAATTAAGATGACTTTCTTCTTCCAGGATTAATCTCAGACAGCATCTTCATGTAATAATCAGACCTACTCCTATGATAATCAATCCAGACACACAACTGCCTGATAGCCTCTCTCTTCTCTTCTTGCAATCCAAGCATCCCATCTTCTCTCTCCTTAATCACCTTCTCCAATTCCCTCACTTTATTCTCCAACTTCCAAACCTTCTCTCTATACACCAATATCTCACCTTCTTTATCATCCAACTGTATTAACAGACAATCCAAATCCTCCTTCACATGCACCAACGCCTTGTTCTTCCTCCTCGCCCAATCCTTTGCGAACTTCAGCTCGCACGACGACTTCGATATCCGGTTCATGAAGTTCGCGTTGCACTCCTCGAACTTCAGCGCCAGCGAATCGAGCGAGACGAGGAAGTCGTTCGCCGTGACCGACATGTCGGTTACGTCCTTGAATCTCTCCTTGAGCTCCTTCGTTTCTTGCTCGTACGCGTCCTTCGTCTTGAGGTACCACTCTTTGTTCTCGACGTGAAGCTGCTCTGCGACTCGTATTCGTCGGCTCAGTATCCGGTACTTGTCTTCGAACTGCTTGCGGAACTCCTCCGCCATTTCTTCGACTTTTCGCTCGACGAAGTTGATGTTCGATTTCGACCCCAATAGTATCTTCGTTTGCGCGTCCTCGTTTTCTTGCTTTATCTTGCTCATTGCTTCGCCTAATTCGAGTAGGGTTTTTTGCTGGTCGGATATTTTCTTGATTAATTCGGTGTTCTTTTTCTCCAATTGGGATTTGCTCGTAATAAATTCTCGTTTCTCCTTCTCGAGCTCGTCTTTGTCTTTTAGTAATGCCTCCGACTTTTTCTCGTGGTTCTTGATATTCTCGTTTAGTAATTCGATTTTGGCGGAGAGATCGTTTTGAATGGCCTTGTGTTTCTTCTGTTGAGTCGATAGTTCGTTTTCTTTCACCGAAAGGGATGTTTTTAGCTCGGAGATCTTACCTCGTTGCTCCTTCGCTTCGTGATTTATTCTCTTTATCTCGTCTTCCAACTCCTTATTTTTGCTGCTTAAAGAACGAACCTCGATTTCTAAATCGTTAATTACCTTATTAACCTTTAAGCTTCCGTCGTCTTCGATCGTGTCTTCGTTTGTCGGATTTTCGATCTGATGAACACATTCGGATATCTCGGCCGATTTTTTCTTGAGCTCCAATTCCAATTCGGACTTGTGAATTTTCAGCGAGTTAACTTGCTCCGTTAATCCCTTCACTTGATCACATCTTTCTTTAGCTATTTCTTCCAACTCACCTTTCTCGAGGTGCAAAATTTTGTTCTTTTCGACGAAATCCGAAATCTTCGATAAAAAGTCCTTCTCGTTTTCCTCTTGTTCCGAAATGCGTGATTCCAACCTCGATATTTTCTCTTGCATTTGCGTGGTTTCGTTGCACTTAAACACGATTTGCTCTTCCAAAGCTCGTCTATGCGTGCAAAGGGTTTCGACTTCAATCTTCAAATCCACAACCGTCGCTTCTAAATCCCTCATTTGATCCAACTTTTTTCTCGTGTTTTCTCTCTCTTCTTCTTTTTCCTCCATGGTTAAATCCTCGAGAATTTCGTTGAATTCTTGAGATTTCGAACCGAAAGTCGAGGCTTCCTTTACTTCACTAGAAGAAGTTAGTTTGTCCTTGAGGATAGTAGTGTCTTCTACATCGGACGTTTCGGACTCCTGGTTAATATTATAGATTTGATCGGGGGTATTTTCATCATTTTTAACAATCCTTTCCACTGGAGAATAATACGCCTCGGAGTCCGGTGGGGAAGAAGACGACGAAGAAGAAGAAGAAGCGTTGTCTTCAAAACGGACGTTGTTCTTCACCTCGCCTCGTAAATCTTCGTACATGGAGTAGAGCGACTCGTAGTGGTGGTGGAAATCTTCGACGAGGTGAATTAGTTCCGATTTTTTTTTCATGTTCGCGTCTTTATTGTTGTTTATGTTTTTGGCTAGCTTCAACGTTCGCTTCACTTTGCTCTCAATTTCTGCATGCAACATTATATTGCTATTGGTTAAACGGAACACGAAAATGCAGTACTAAATACAACATTTATATTATAATTTTGGATTTTTTTTTAATTTCATTTAACGTTGCATCTCGTGTTCTGTTTCACCGATACACGATACACAATACAAATTACTAGATTAAACCATTTATCCAACATTTTCTCGAATAAAATCGTGTGCATGCATTTATTTTAATTTACCTGTTTTTACCGATTTCAGCTGTTCTTCTTTCTCGGGATCGATGTGATTCTCGAACGACTTCATCGATCCTTCCCACCGATGCTTTGTCATCTCTGCTATTACTATTGCTCGAAACTAAATATATATAAAGGAAAAAGAAATATATTAATTTGATCCAAGATTAAATCTTGGTTCAACAGCATATATTGATTTCGACCATATAAATTTGTACTAATAATTAATTTAATTATTGTCAAGGAAATATTGATTTAATTCTTACCTTTGATCAATGTCTGAATTTACTGCTTAGAATCTAATTTTTCATCCTGTCTGAAAAATAAAACAAACCTATTTTCAGATAATATATATATATTATATATACACATATACATATATATAATCATTTGATGATCTTGATATCGGATTCATCATTCTCATATCAAGAAAATTACATACATTCATAAATGAAAAGATAAATTAATATCTGCATGGATTGTTTTTCTCTCTCTAGAGGCAAAAATTACCTGAAACTGGGAAGATGAGAGAGAAGGGAATTAATTATGTGAAATATGAATGAAGAGCAAATCTCAAAAGGCTAAAAGGGACAAAAATGGAAAGGGAAGAAGCTAATGAAACTGTCTGTGAAGGAGGGAGGGGATCTCTATGGTAGGAATTGAAATTAGACGTCGAACGAATCGTAATTAGCACTTTCGCAAAAAATCAACTTTTTTTCCCTTTAATTTGGAAGTGAAATGTTCATTTCAATTCCCTTCCCAAAAAATACGAAATTTTTGGAATTTGGAATGCAAGTTTCGAAATTGGAACTTTTCGGATCGGAATTTGCAGAAATCGATATATATATATATATAATTTATCCACTTACAATGTAACATACATAATTAAACGGATATTATAAATGTAGGTTTTGATTTGCCTCTTTTTCTTTTTTGGAATTATTTTTTGAAACTAAAATGGAATTGGAATCGAAATCTTATTTGTATTCAAATTGTGACCCAAAAAAGTAGTGAAAATTGGAAATCAAATGTTTTTGGAATATGGACCGGAATGAAAAAATGTCTTAAAATTGGAACTTTTGATCAAAATTGGTGGAATTTGAAAAAAAAGTTCGTTTGAAATTGGTCCATACCGGTACCTCTAGATAGTTTTGTAGATTAAACTTTGTAAATATTTAATATTATTAATTTATTGATAAAAAATATTTAAAATTAATTATATTCGTTATACCATTAAAATCTTACTAATGTACATCGCGAAGAGTTTTACTAAAACATAGACACTTTATTTAAAAATTAAGAACCTAATATCTATCTCATCTTATTTTTTTCAAACTTTTTTCTTAATAATCTATGAATTTGTTTATTTTTAAAAGTAAATAAATATATGGCCAACCCTAAGTTATGGTCAAATTACGAAAAATCTCTTATTGTTTGGGCAATTACAGTCACCTCTCAACTATGTATTATCTTACGAGAAAACCCATTCAAAAGTAAATTTAGATATGTTAATTCGGTGAAACCAAACCGAAATTTCGGTACGCCAATATTTCATACCGTTTACACGATTTGGTTTGGTACATAGCCGAATTACAGAAAATTTATGTAATAATATTTAAAAGAAGGGGTGACAGTAATTACCCAAACAAGAGGGGTTGTTTTGTAATTTGTCCATACATGAGGGGTGGCCGCAATTTGTTTTTTGTTTTTGAAAACGTTAATTAGGAAATATTTGTACATATTATTTACTATTATTTTATCATCTATCCTTTTCCGATTCAAAAACCCTAACCTGTATCCGCAACGATTTCCCCCAATTATATATCCAATTCCAAACCCTAATCTCAGTTCAACCTGAATTCTTCTCTATATAGATAGCTGTAATCGTTTCTCACAAAATTCTTCCCTGTAATTCTTTTCAACAGCAGCCATGGCTAACGCGAGGGAAGGGGACCCAAATCTGGGCTACCTCACCAAGAAAGAAACCGAAGTGAAGCTGCCGCGACCGACGCGCGTGAAGAACAAGACCGCCGCTCCGGTTCAGATCACCGCCGAGCAAATACTCCGGGAGGCCCGTGAACGCCAAGAAGCCGAAATCCGGCCACCCAAGCAGAAAATCACCGACTCCGCCGAGCTCGGTGACTACCGTCTCCGGAAAAGAAAAGAGTACGAGGATTTAATCCGAAGGGTGCGTTGGAATAAAAGCGTGTGGGTGAAGTATGCCAAGTGGGAGGAATCGCAGAAGGATTTCGCTCGGTCGAGGTCGGTGTGGGAGCGAGCGTTGGAGGTCGATTATCGAGACCACACATTGTGGTTGAAGTACGCCGATTTCGAGATGAAGAACAAGTTCATTAATCACGCGAGGAACGTGTGGGACCGCGCCACGGAATTGTTGCCGAGGGTGGACCAACTGTGGTACAAGTACATCCACATGGAGGTCATGTTGGGGAATGCTGCCGGGGCGAGGCAGATTTACGAGCGGTGGATGAAGTGGGTGCCTGATCAAGAAGGATGGCTTTCGTACATAAAGTTTGAGTTGAGATTTAACGAGATCGAAAGAGCAAGAGCTATATTCTCTCGGTTTGTCGAATGCCACCCGAACGTCACCGCGTGGATTAGGTTTGCTAAATTCGAGATGAAGAACGGAGAGATTGCTCGTGCGAGGCAGGTTTACGAGGATGCTCTGAAGATATTGGGGAATGACGAGGAAGCGGAAAAGTTATTTGTAGCCTTTGCGGAGTTTGAGGAACGATGCAAAGAAACGGAAAGAGCTAGATGTATATACAAGTATGCATTGGACCATATTCCGAAAGGGAGGGCAGAGGAGATTTACAAGAAGTTTGTTGCTTTCGAGAAGCAGTATGGAGATAGGGAAGGAATCGAGGATGCCATAGTTGGGAAGAGAAGGTTTCAATACGAGGATGAAGTGAGGAAGAATCCGTTTAACTACGATGTATGGTTTGATTACATTCGATTGGAAGAGAGCTGTGGCGATAAGCTGAGGATCGAGGATGTTTACGAGCGGGCCATAGCAAACATCCCTCCTGCTCAAGAAAAGCGGTATTGGCAGCGGTACATATACTTATGGTAAGCTTAATGCTTCATATGTTGGTGTTTTTATAGGAATGCTTTGCTTATATTTTTATTTGTTTGTACTTGTTGTTTGCTGACCGGTTGAATCCCTTTTTCATCAGGATTAACTATGTTTTGTACGAGGAGCTTGATGCCCAAGACATCGTCCGCACGAGGGAAATATACGAGTAAGTTAAATTTGATCTGTTCAAGTATATAATTTGTTTCTGCAGCTTTTTTCATAGATAATCATATTTTTGAATTTGAAACAAATTTCTCAATCGGGATTGTATTTAATCTTCATAGGGAACTTCTTTTTGGTAGTAAATAATTTGTTTTGGGATGAGCTGCTTCGTGTTATGAGATAGGATACCGTGATTACATTTTGCGCATTGACTATTAGATTGAGTGTATAGCTGTTTAATATCTGAATGCAATGCTATTATCCTGGTTCATGGTGTCGATGTCTTTACATTGGATGAAAACGTATGAAGATTAGTTTGACGCATACCCTTATCGTTGTTATGTTTTAACTTCTCTGTCCAGTGTTTGGTGCAAATTTTCTTTGTTAGATGTCTATACTTCTGTCAGATTCCTAAAATAATTCATAGAACGAGTGGTCGGGATGAGTGGAAATACAATAATTACATGCAGTATAGTCATAATTTTTATATGCCTTTGTTAGCTTCGTTTCATGTTATGTTTTTTTTTTTTTTTTTTTTTTCCCCGCTCTTGGTTGAGTTAATCATGATTCATTTTTTGTATGAACTGATCCTAACTAAGATTTCCTGATTTATCTCCGGAATCGAACAGCTTGTGCTTGAAGAACATTCCTCATGCGAAGTTCTCTTTCGCCAAAATTTGGCTGATGGCCGCACAATTCGAAATTCGCCAGTTAGATATTGATCGGGCACGGAAAATCTTGGGGTCAGCAATTGGCAAGGCTCCCAAAGACAAGGTACGCAGAATTCGAGTTATCTGAACCCCGCTTTCCTTTTATTTTGATTTTGTTGGTCATCCTTCATTAACTGTATGTATATTTAATATGTTTTAACAGATATTTAAAAAGTACATCGAGATAGAGCTTCAACTTGGTAATATAGAACGATGTAGGACACTGTATGAGAAGTACTTGGAGTGGTCGCCCGAAAATTGCTACGCGTGGAGCAAATATGCCGAGTTAGAAAGATCCTTGGCAGAAACCGAACGAGCTAGAGCTCTTTTTGAGCTTGCAATTGACCAACCTGCTTTAGACATGCCAGAGCTGTTGTGGAAGGTACTAGCATCATTGTGTATTGATAACGTTATCTATCATCAATAAGTGTTTGCATTATTTTGTTGAATTTGATTGAATGTTTATTGATCTTGTATATATATGTGATGGCAGGCTTATATCGACTTTGAAATATCCGAGTCCGAATTTGGAAGAACAAGAGCACTTTACGAGAGGCTTTTGAACCGCACGAAACACTTGAAGGTGTGGATAAGTTACGCCAAGTTTGAGGCATCTGCTACGAAAGAGGGCATTCAAGAATCAGACATGTCTGAAATTGATTCTGAGCAGAAACGAAAGTGCCTCGAGCGTGCCAGAGGTGAGTAGATAAAATCCACGATACATCATTTACTATTTGCACGGTGTCCTAAAAATCATTTTCCCGATTATAAAATATTCATTATAGTGAGAACTAGAAACTCAATTGTTTATCCTCTGTTTTTACAGCTGTGTACGAAAGAGCCCTTAGCCACTTGAGAACAACTGCACCCGAACTGAAAGAGGAACGAGCAATGCTTTTGGAAGAGTGGTTGAATATGGAAAGCAGCTTCGGTCAACTCGGTGATGTTGACTTGGTCCGTGTTAAGCTGCCAAAGAAACTCAAAAAACGAAGGCACATCGAGACTGAAGATGGTCCCTCTGGGTACGCATTCAACTTCCTTTTTTTTTTTTTTTTTTTTTTTTTCATTTAAAAACTATTATTTCAACAAACGCCTTAAATGTCACATATTTTTAAAACCCGGGATTTAATTTTCTTTGAAATTTATTAATTGTAGGTACGAAGAGTATATCGACTATCTTTTCCCAGAAGAGACGCAGACGACAAATCTGAAAATTTTGGAAGCAGCGTTAAAGTGGAAGAAGCAGAAGCAATCCTCCGATTGATTAATGGGTTTTTCGCATTCCGTTTATTTTGAGCTTTTCTTGATCTTTATGTATATGTACCTATCTGATGTGTGTAAGCAAGCAAGTTTTGGTGTTGCATTTTTCGAAGCTGAGACTACCCTTTTGTTTTCTATTTATTTGTTTTCTCATTTTCTTTTAATGTAGCAAAACCGAAGAGAGGGCACAATTGTAATTTCTACTTTTAAGTTTTAAGTGTACTTTTGAAGTAGCAAACCCAAATTCTTACATGTTCTAAAAATAAAATGTCAATTTGCTTAATTGTTACTACTGAGAAATAATTTTTTTTAAAGATTCATTAATAATGATTAGTGTATGGTTACAAAAATCTAAATTCTCATTTTTAAACTATTTGGTTGCGTTTCTAATCGATGATTCTTCATGTTTGAGCCCTTTTCGGGTTGTGTTTTTTTTCCCGTACACATCTAATGCATCTTGTTGTTAGCTTCTCTCTTGGTTGAATTTTGTCACTGAATTAGTCGTTGGATATATAGGTCTTTGTTACTAATTGTTTCGTCTAAAATTTCAATTATCATGACATGGTTTGGCAAACGAGGTTATTATCCAAATTTCATGCTTCAAGGGTTGATTAAACCAATAACTCTATCCGACAAATGCAACCAACAAATCATTTGGAGTGAAGAAGGTGAAATATACGAGCGTAGACTGTATGAAGCTGACTCAAGTTAGAATTTTGTATCATAAACTTAAATTGATCGGAGGGTATTTTGGTCGGGAAGTAGTTTTCTATTAGAGTTTATTACTTTATTATAAATACCACCCACGTGAAATCTCTATTCAGAGTTTTTTCTTTTAACATGGGGTATTTGTCAGTTTCATATTACACAAGGGAGGTATTTGCAATTAGCTAATTTCTATTCATATATTCATCTACATTGTATACTTAATTAGGGTAGTTTAGTCATTTACTTTAAGTCCAACATGCTTATCTAATCACGATCCCACGAATTTCGAGTATGATTTTTTTATATTATTATCTTGTTTTTTACGTCTTATTAATAATGTGCTTATAATAGAAAGGGTAAATTACAACCACCCATGAGGTATGATTAATTTACAAAAAAAACCCCTCTTGTTTGGATAATTACATCTACCCCTCAACTATTATTTTTCTTACATCTTCACCCTTATGGTGTCAAATTCAACATAATCATCTAGATTTCGTGGAATGTGCTCTAGTTTGTACTCGTTTTGTGTAAAAATACAGTTTTTGATGCATCACAATATGATATATGCAAGCCAAAAAACACACATCATGATCATCTTGCTTCAAAATACAGTTTAGGTTTTTCGTTAAACTAACGGCTTGTATAGCGGAAAATGTAACTGAGGGGGTAAAGGATACATAATAATAGTATAAGGGAGGTAAGTGAAATTAACCCTGAATAAAATGTAAATGTAAAGATATTATACTCTCTTCAATGTTCTTATCAGGTGCTCTCTCTAATCAACTTTTTTTTTTTTTTTTTCTGAAAATTATGAACTAAAAAACCCTTTCACGTTTTAATAGGTATTGACAAATATGACGTATTGAAAGTGAAAGTTTTATCAAATCTTATATTATTTAGTAAACTCCTCATTACTTCTTTTAATTGAGAGAGACCCAAAATATTTCTCTCCACTTGAGAAAAGTTCCATTTTCAGCTATTATCTTTCCCAGTTTTATCCCGCCCGCCATGTCATCATCGCGTCACGAGCTGGTCATCAACGACTTTTTTTTTTCATTTTTTTTTTCTGTATCAGTTTTATTAATCGACTATGAAGCATAGTAGCTTATGGTAAATCGACTATGAAGCATAGTCGATTCAGGAATTTCTTTAATTTAAAAAAAATCAATTTTTTTTCTATATCATATATATTAATCGACTATGATGAAGCATAGTCGATTAAGAGTCTGCTACTAAAAATAACAAATCAAAACTGAAAACAAATGCAAAAAATCAACTATATTTAAAAAAAAAACAAAAAATATAAGAACATTATTTTTCGGTAAAAAAATGACGTATATGACAGTGGAAATGACAAAATTCACTTTCACAATATTGGATTCCATAAAATGGGAAGGTCAAAATCTATGGATTTAATAAGGGAATGGCAGAAACCACTCTGCGCGCGAAAACCACTTTGTACGTGAAAACCACTATGTGCACGAAAACCACTATGTGGACAAAAACCACTCTGCGTACATAAACCACTCTTACATTTGTTTAAGCATCAACACAACATCCACAGTGCACCAGACACATACAAATCTTATATATATATATATATATATATATATATATATATATATATATATATATATATATACATACACATACAAATTACTGTCCAACGTAAATCAATACAAAACCTCACATATAACTCATCTTAAATTCTCATGTGAGCTGAAAACCACCATGTGAATCTGCACTGTCGCGCGCCATTTATCCAAATGACACAAACAAATTATTATTTATGTGAGTTATAATTTCGATTCCACATAAATGGAAATGTGCAATCAATAAGCGTTAATGGTGAAATTAATTGAGAAAGTGTTCATTAAAATATTTATGTAGATGATATTATGTATCTTCTTTAATAACAGATATAAAAAAAACGCGTGTATTAATTAGTTAGGGGCATAATAGTGATAATTAAGGGTTTTTAATTAATTATAAGCTCTTTTGAATTTATCTTAAAAATGAAAAATAAATTTGGGCCTAATGTAACGACCCCTTGTGAAATGAGAGGGTTTTGTCAAAGTATCCCTTTTTTTATATTATTATCTTGTTTTTTATGTCTTATTAATAATGTGCTTATAATAAAAATAATATAAAAACCAAATATAAACTAAAATGAGAATTTTTTAAAGTTGTAAGATGATGGATGAGTTTGTGCTGAAAGCAAATTTTAGTTGTAAATGAAGAGGTGGGTGGATACACATTTTTTTACAAAATTAAGAGAAGGGCATAACTGGAAGTAATAAATCAGTTCTTTAGGTTTTTCGTTAAACTAACGTTTTATATAGCGGAAAATATAATTGAATGATACATAATAATATTATAGGGGAGATAAGTGAAATTAATCCCCAATAAAACGTAAATGTAAATAAATCTTATATTATTTAATCCAAAAAAAGTTGCTGACATTTAGTGACATCACTTGGCGTCACATCATAGTACTTTGAGTAAGAAATAGTTTGCATTTGAGGAAATGAAATGTCCTAAAAAAAAAGAAATGGAATGCTAAATTTGGTGGAGATGAAGTAAATGCTTTTATTCCATAAATAGCTAATATTTTAATCTTAGTATAGGAGAGAAAAATTGGGATTTTTTAGGGTTTGCCAGAAATTCTTTTTGTTTTTTCGTCATTTTCAATAAGATATTTAATGATAAAAAACTTTAATTCAATTTATTTTCAATGAAGATATTTAATGATAAAAAACTTTAATTCAATTTAGAGATTTAAATTATTTAGCCTAATATCAAGTAAGTACATTATTTATGGGTCTTTAATATCTGTTTCTACTTGTTTTAGTTCGTAGGGACTATTCCTGTCTTTTAGCACATAAACCTAAACCGAAAGTGTTGTCGGTCACTTTTGTCTTTAATATCTGTTGTTTTCGTTTACTTGTTTTAGTTCGTAGGGACAATTCTTTCTTTATGCACTTAAACCGAAACTGAAAGTGTTGTCGGTCTCCGTCGTCTTTGACCGTGTCTTTGTTAGTCGGGTCCAATTTTCGATCTGATCGGACTTGTGAGTTTTCAGCGTGTTAACTTGCTCCATTAATCCCTTCACTTGATCATATCTTTCTTTAGTTATTTCTACCTATTCACCTTTCTCCAGGTGCAAAATTTTGTTCTTTTCGATAAAATCCGAAATCTTTGATAAAAAGTCGTCCTTGTTTTCCTCTTGTTCCGAAATGCGTGATTCCAACCTCGATATTTTCTCATGCATTTGCGTGGTTTCGTTGCACTTAAACACGATTTGCTCTTCCAAAGCTCGGCTATTGTTTCGACTTCAATCTTCAAACGCTTCTAAATCCCTCATTCGATCCAACTTTTTTCTCACGTTTTCTCTCTCTTCTTCTTTTTCCTCCATGGTAAAATCCTCGAGAATTTCGTTGAATTCTTGAGACTTCGAACCGAAAGTGGAGGCTTCCTTTACTTCACTAGAAGAAGTGAGTTTGTCCTTGAGGATAGTAGTGTCTTCTACATCGGATGTTTCGGACTCCTGGTTATTATAGATTTGATCGGGGGTATTTTCGTCATTTTTAACAATCCTTTCCACCGGAGAATAATACGCTTCGGAATCCGGTGGGGAAGAAGACGAAGAAGAAGAAGAAGAAGAAGAAGCACTGTCTTCAAAACGGACATTGTTCTTCACCTCGCCTCGTAAATCTTCGTACATGGAGTAGAGCGACTCGTAGTGGTGGTGAAAATCTTCGACGGGGTGAATTAGTTCCGATTTTTTCTTCATGTTCGCGTCTTTATTGTTGTTTATGTTTTTGGCTAGCTTCAAAGTCCTTTTCACTTTGCTCTCAATTTATGCATGCAACATTGCTATTGGTTAAACGGAACACGAAAATGCAGTACTAAATACGACATTTATATTATAATTTTGGATTTTTTTTTTTCATTTAACGTTGCATCTCTTGTTCTGTTTCACCGATACACGATACAAATTACTAGATTAAACCGTATCCGACATGGAAAATTCTCAATGTCTTCATATATTAATAATTAAAAGATGTATTTTGGGGAAAGGAAATCAGTGAGTACTTACATTGCTAAATGGAGGCGAGTTTTTCGTTGTACTCGTGAACCACACGATCGTTCTCCTCCTTCGCGTTAGCCAACTCTACTCGAAATTCATCCATTCCATTGTCTGTACTTTCGAAGGAGCATGCATCAACAAATGGTTTTTAGTTGGAACTTCCTTCTGGATCATCAATATACCACGTCGAGCATTTTTAATAGGTCAGAACTTTTATCCTTCAATTGCCTACAGACCCTCCCAGTCTTTCCACCAACCTTCAAAATTTCACGGTTATGAACACAGGTTGACGTTATCCATTGTCAGCTCCCTTGTGTCATGCAGACGATGACCCCGGGCTAAGCCACGACCTCGGCTATGGGACATGCTCCTGCCTGAATCCTCATCAACCCCTTGCATAGGAGGATGAATCTCATCCTCTGTAGCTACATGACCTAAGTACGGGCCCGAGTCCTGCCCCTCCCCATGCCCGGAGCCCTTGC